CACATTCAGCATTAATAAAATAACTACTTATATAGCACTTAGTTACATTAACAAAGTTCTCACCTCATCCTCAGCACGCCAAGGTTCAAAATTTCGTGTTGCACCAGACTCAACAACATAATCTGAATTTTGTGGATCAGTCTTCATTGTGATCTCAGCTGAGCATTTGGTGCATTTGAAGTAGAATCTGAATATTTGGATTCCCAGATACGTCTGCAAATGATTAACTTAATAATATTAGCAATTCAATTTACTAATAGACTCAATCTTAGTCCCCACCTTCTGATATCCAAATCTCATTGAAATGCTCATTCTATGGTTTAACTATGGTATTATGCTAGCACAAACTTGCATGGAAATAATCAAATTCTAGTAGCCAATATGCTGTTACAACTACATTAAAAAAACCCAAATCCCAAATCCCACATTGATAAAGCACGGAAGATAGGTGTTGGGTATAGAAGTTGACACCAGTTAACCATGTTTTAAACGGACAGTTTCAGGGGGCTGGCTCATTACAGAAATATTGATGGAATTCATTTTGTTTAGAAAAATCTATCTATCCCTCACATGGAAACAAGCCTTAACGAAAATCCAATTACCTAACTAGCCATATCTGGAAAAAAAAAAAAAAATGAAGCAAAGAAAAGTTGCAAGGTGCGGAAGCATGATGATATAGGAAGCAGATCAAAAAGAGTACCTCGCCAATGACGTCTTCTTTCCGAGAATTGAACTTCGTACCCTTGTAGATGTAGTTGCCGCAAGTATTGCATCGGATGCTCATCGGCAACATCATTCGCACCTTGATCTGCTGGTTCTTAGGCCGCCGGGCCCTGGGAAGCTTCGACGGATCGAAGTCCGGCGGGTAGTACTTGTTGAGCACTTTCCTTTCTCCCATCTTGCAAAACCCTAATCAAAAACCCTTTCTTCCACTGTTTTCTTTCCCTTCCATGAAATCACCGAGAATTCCAGTGTCATACATGTTTCTCCCAACCTTGTAATGAAGGTGGAGTTTGCTCCTTAGCTCTATTTTTAATATCGTTATGATCCTCAACTTTTAAAGTTATAACCTTTTAGTCTCTAAAATTTTAGATTTTAAAATAAATATTTTAAGGCCCCGAAGTCTTGACAATGTCGTCGTGATAGTCTGGTCCCTTACATCTTGAAACTTTAAGTTTTGAGTTTTTCTATCAACTTAAAGAATCGACTTGAAGTCTCTTCCTTTAGAGGAAATCAAAGATATTTTTCCTTTATAAAAGTAAAATGTTAATGATTTCAGTTATTTTTTACATCATAAATTGTAAAATTTTAAATTAATGCCACATGTAAAATATTTTTTATTGGTCGGAGGAGATTGAGTCATGTCAGATTCAGATTCTGGATCTCATGACAAATTAGCACTTGTGTTGACAAAAAAAGAGAGGTAAAGATAATTTTTTATGAAGTAATTATCTTCTTGAAACAGAAAGGGATAATGGAAGCTGAAAAATAAGAGAAAATTGCAGTTAAAAAGAGGGTTTTATCTTATAAGAGTACAGGTGGTGAAATTTGCAAGGAGATTAGACCAAATCAAAAGATGAGTTATTCCAATATTTCAAGAAACCACCCATGATTGAGTAACTACAAAAAGTGGAAGTTACTGTCGGCACAAGGAGAACAAAAAGGAAATTTTGGAAGGGAGAACACACGGCCAACCCTACTCAAACATCTGCAAATTTTCAGACTTTATTTTTCTCTGCAATCTACTTCCAGATTTCGAATTTCAGCACAGATTCTAAGAGAATTAGGTTGTTTTTTCATCATTCCAGTAGATAAATTAATTCATGTATTCAGTTCAACAATTTTCTTTCATGCAATGAACTCTAATATTTCAAGTTTATACAAGGTATTGTTTTCTTTCCATATGCAATTAATTTAATGTTTATGATAAGTAATATTTTATTCAATAATTACTTATGTGGTGTTCATATCTCTTTTCAACCTCAAGCATAGTAGTTTAATTACTGTTCACATTAATTTTAATGTTAATTAGGATGAAATTTTTAATTTTGCAGCATTTTAATTTCCAGATCTGTCAGTACATAACATTTCAATTTAACAATAAACATGTTTAGTTTAATTTGGATACAGCTTTTTCTCACAAATTTACTTTAAATTGCAAGTTATTTAGTTCAATTAGGATTTGTTAATTTTAAGTCACGGTAATGTTTAAGTCCTTGGAGTTGTCCAAGGCAAATTTTGTAACCCATTCTGCAAGAAGGTATCCCCCTCTTGTAAATCATCTGAAAACGCAAATTTCATTTTAATTTAACGTTCTTCCCGCCATCTACAAAGAGATCGACCGTGAGGAAAGAGAGAATCGTTGAAAGAGTCCTCCTTTCTTACTTTCATCAAAGTAAATGACACGCCCGCATCCAGATTTCACACGTGCGAGGTCACTAGAAGATTTTTGGAAAAACAGTTATATTAATAAAGAAATAAAAAAAATTGAATCCTATTAATAAAGAAACAAGAGAAGAGCATCACCTTTTTCTTCTTCTTCCTTCTTTTTTTAATTTTTTTAGTTAGAATCTTTCTATATACGGTGCTAGTCCAACCTTATATCAGTTTATTTGGATATGATACTCAACATGGTTAAATAAAACACAAAGGCTGGACAGCATAAAAAATGCACAATCCAAGATTCTCTCCATTTTAATTCCTTAACAGTATTTTACTGATTTCACCATTTCAATTTATGAACTAAAAGGCACGGAACTCATACATTTAAACCCCTTTAGTATCATGGTCTATTTTCAAAAACAAAAAAAAAAGGGGCAAAAATATAAAAAAACCACAACAGTTTTTGCGACTTCTGAAAACCAAAATTTTTTATTTTCATCGGTTGCAGCGACTGGATGGATCATTATATGAATAATGTACCAAAAGAGTATGATAATTACGCTTGCCTATGAGCACCATGCCATATTGTAACCTCCTACTCCAAAGAAAGGTACTACTTTCCTATCTTGTTTGCCCCAAAAACAAGAACAGTGCGATGTCCAAGGCTTTCTTCCAAGAACTAATATACTGGTTCATCTGCAATAATTGAGGAACTATTAGCATCTCCTCTTACAAAGTACAAAAGTGCAAGAGCCAAAAAGAATTTCAGCATTCATCTAGCACGTAAATGTTCCATTCAGAATAAGGTGCATACCATCATTGCCATCTTCTGCGTTATAATCATCTTCATCGTCATCAAAATCACGGTTCTGCAGGGTTATAGACAAAATTCAGAATGAGCACTTATTTTCTATAAGCAGATATCAAATTTCCTACTAGGTCTGCACCTTGTAAGAGAATAAGGTAGGTTTTCAGTTTTTCTCTTCTGCATGGTATCTTAAGGGGGAAAAAACTAAAAACTTATATTTCAGTTTCCAATGAACCAGAGATATCGGATGCCAATACATGGAGGTACAAGCCTATAGAACGGATCTTGTTTAAGTGAGGTCTTATTAAGTTGTAAGTGATTATGCAAAAACTATTTCGTTCTAAGTGATAAAGGTTGAAATAAATGCTAATCCACACAAAACATTTAAAATAATACATTTATTCTTTTGTTAGAAAAGGCGAGCAGTTTAAATGCAAGTAATTCAAAATCTTAGACTAGTTGCTTATCTAAGACCAAAGGTGGATTTCTAACTTTGCATCAAAATATTAGCATTCCAGGGTCTTAAATATATAATTCACCACGCAATGCATTAAAAGAGGCTAGATTCATGCAGAAAATGGAGCTTGAGCAATTAGAAATCACGCTCAATTCAAAATACTAATGTTGTGAAGTTTTATGCAAAGTTCAAACCTGATTATAATCTCCATCATCACTGAACTCTTCATCAGTCTTTTCTCCTTCTTCATCTTCTTCATCCTCATCTTCCCCTCCTCTCTTATCTCCTCCATCTTTCTCTTTATCCTATGGAGTCCAAATATAAAAGAAATTGCAACACAAATATATTTAGCATATAAGTGCCTGTTAGGCGACAGAACTTGACAAAGCATAAAGCACAGCAAACAAAAAGCATTTTATTTCAGAGCCAAGAATAACAAACATAAAAGAAAATTTTCATTCCAGAACACTTAATTTCTTAAGTGTCATCAGTGCAGAAATTTTTATCTAGATAAGAAAAATGTTTTACCTCAAATTTCTTTTCAAGGTCTTCCAGAACATTTAATTTCTGAAAGTCTGTAACATACAAATTAAAAAAATCTAAATTAGCTTGACAAGATTTATGTTGTAAGCCAAAATTATACACAAACAGCACAAAGACTTGAGATTGCTGACCTACAAGTTAAAATGCAACTGATAGAAAGTTATCTGAGTGCAACATGGTTCAATTAACAGACCCATGATCCAAGACGAGAAATAACATATGATGACAGGTTCACATAAAATTAACACTGAAATTTCTAACAAAATGACAATTTGCTTAAAGCCATGTAATCACTGGTACTCTTTCTTGAATTTGGTTACAGATCTTCTTGTTTACCTACTCTTGCTCATTACTTAGCATATAAAGTAGTTCTAAAGTTAAAATCTATTGAATAGCTACTATTATATTCAATCTCTCTCTTTTTTCTTTTTTTTGGTGGGGGTGGGGGTGGGGGTGGGGGTGGGGATGGGGGCTGGAGGACAATATATGCAGCTTTAAAATGTGTGGCACAGAGAACACTTTTAAGACTCCAATTCTGCATCAATAACATGCATATTTGGTACATGAAAGACATCATGCTGAAAACAGAAATATATTAAATAAACATAATATGACTGCAATGAAATTAACACAAGCTGTGATGTATTAGCAAACCTGAGTCTGGATTCCAACGTACCCTTTTGGGGTTTCTTGGCACCCTCCTTGAATCTGAAATGTCACAATCCCATTAGACAAGACCACGCCAAGATCAAAGGTGGGAAGCTAGACATATTATCCAAGATAATAATAATTCCATAGGAATTAAGACTATAACCTCTAAGGAGTTCTTTAGGAAAATTGTCAGATCTGAGCTGTAGAAATTGGTCAAGATTATTGCGTCTTGATAAAGTCTTTGGCTTCCCACAGTCTGAAAATCTTTCAATGTCCATGCTTTCATTTTCTGACATAACATTCATGGAAGATATCCATCAGTTAGGCAGCAAAATAATGGGCGAGAAATGCAAAAGCTGTAAGAGGGAAGCTGAGCAAGAAATGAAAAGGCTGTAAGAGGGAAGAGGCACAAGTTCCAAATGAAATGAGGGAAGCAACTTGGAACAACACCAATAAAATTGTGCAGTAGTCTCACTCTTTGATGCAGTCTCTTCGAGATTGTAAGGAGAGGACTTCCAATAATTTTGCAGCTTTGCATTTGCAATGATTAAGGTCTTCTCCTCTGGCACACCTTTGATATCAGGTAACTCTTTCTGCAAGTCCATGCATGCAAAAAAATAAATTTATCTTCTTAATGTTCCTAGACAGCTGTGTGCATGAAATGATTTTGTTGGCCAACACGACAAACACATAAGGGAATTGATCATTCATATTATTTAGTTTTTCCCTTTTTTGATTGATTTCTTTCTATCACTATAATCTATCAATGTAAATAAACTATCAATATAAATAAAAAGAAAAATGGCAGCAACACGCCCCTTTCCATAATCTATCACTATAAAATAGAAATAAAATAAAAAGGGGATCATGTTGCTGTCATTTTCAAATTAAAGATTGATGATAGTGTCTAAACCCAGGGATTAAAGGAAGAGAGAAAGGATACAGGAACAAGGAAATACAATTTTTTATAGTCTCAACAAGTAGATCCTATTCCTCAGATTCTAAAAAGGAAAGACGGGATGTCAGGTCCTTGTTAAATTACTAGTTATCACCATAAATATTCAAACTAATGAAAAGATCCTTAAGAAAGAACAAATATGAATCTAACTAATAGAATTTATAGGGAAAAGTGATGATCAAATCAGTAAGATATGTATTGTTAAAAGAATCAAAGTTGCTATTTTTTCCTAAAGTCTACAGAATTAGTGAATCTTGGTGTAAGAAAAGAGAGATTCTATTAAGATTAGGACATTACAGGAGATACAAATTAACCATGTTCTCTACAATTTCTGGGAAAGGCTAAGTCCTTGCTAGTTTAAGAAATGAACCAACTTATCAAACAACATAACTGAACTCAATCAATTGCAGAACTAACATTCAGTACACCCTTATTACCCATCAAGCACCACTCCTCTTAAGATGTGGATAACTTAAGCCATGTGTGTTTCACCAAAAAATGATAAGACTTCAATGAAGAAAAGAGATACTAACTTCAGGGAAAAGTATAACTGGCTCCTGCTTAATATGCCCAAAGAAACCACGTCCTCCTCCATATCCCCTTCCTCTTCCACGGCCCCTAAATGCCATCTACAGAACAAGAAGGCATCAATAATCACTCAACAGCACATACATTCATATTAACAATGCTTAGTAATCAAAAAGAATTTATATTGCTCCATCTGTTTGGCAGAAAAAATCTATATCTACTGGCATAACAGGATGCATATACAAAATAATAATGAAACGGGACCCCCTCTCATTCACTTGGACTCGTGTGAATACATATGCATACCACTTTTAAAAATATATCAAATTATAATAGGCTTGTTATATGATAATCTTATTCTAGTTGGCAAAATGTTGAGGGTCTGCTCTTAAAATAGCTTTTTTTGGGGGATGCTCTAAATTAAAATAAGTTTACGACTTCCTTCTCAGCAACCAAACAAGCATGGATTTTTCAGCCCCAAAGACAAGTAGAACCCCTAAAAATTTCCCAAGGTTGCATTTGGGAACATGTATTTGTATTTAGAACGTATATTTTAAATACATGTATTTAAAATACATTGTTTGAATTGAATAAAAAAAATAAATTTCAAATATATGTGTTTTTAAATACATTGTTTGGATATATTAAAATACTATGCATTTAAAATTGAATTTTGCCTATTAAATTAAATCTTCTTCTAATCATTATTTAAATTTAATAAGACCCAAATTAACCATTTTGTCTTCCAAAGCATTATTTAAATGTTATCCATTTCGTTTGTCCATTGCATGTAAGTTCTAAAAACAGCTTCTCCTTGACTTTTTGATTTTCCTGATGGTCTTTTTTTTTTCCTTTGCCTTTTTTCCTAAAAGAAAAACACAAACTAAAAAACAAGGAACTGTCTACAAGTAACAAATTATTCATTAAGAATGCATGTAAGCAGTGATTCCAACTGCTTGACAATTAGAAAGAAAGCTCAAAGCGGACATTTTGACTTCTCAAATGAAATGCAGATTTTAAATAGCCCCAAAAGGCAAAGGCATGACTGGATGATTCAAGGTGGATCACACTGCAGCCTCCTATACCCAACAAATGAAAGGAGTTACTTCTACTCCTAGTCAATCCAGTCCAAAGCAGGTAACAGGAGATAAGCTAACAGATAATATGACTACTACTACCACAACAGAAGATTAATCTATGAGCAAGAGATCGGAATTCACTAATTTAGAAGACTGGAACAAAAACAACATTATTTCTTCCTTTTCTCTAAAGAACAAAATCATATGGAAGTGGAATACAAGCATTTTGACACAAAATAAAACACGTATCACCACCTACATGTCTTTACCTGTAAATTTAACTGATGACTTATCTTAGCAGGAAACTGACTGGTCCAAACTGATTAAATGGTAGTACATTTTTGGCTTGAGATTTTTGTTTCCTCTCAGCATAGCCAGGGAGACATTTTGAGTTCCCAGTGCCCTTACAATCCTTCTGTAATAGCCCATCTGGTAACTGGATTAGAATAGAAGCTCTTAAATGATAAATACTCCCAAGGGGCTAGCTGGTTTTCTTAGTTACTCATAAGAGACAGTCTTTTTTTCTTGGATTAGCAATTTAGCATGCTCCAATCCATTTTCCTTTTATCTATATGTTTATGTATCTCTATATGGCATATAATGATATAAGTAAATCTAATGCTTAATAAAATCCAGAATATCAACAAATTATGTCTAGGATGTGGTCTTTTGTTTTGATCTCTTAAATAAACTCACTATATTGGAAATTAATAAGCCATGGCTTCTTGTTAGACTGATTACATTTGAAACTTTCTGGACCAAGGCCATTCCATTAAATTAAACTTTTGTTACACTGATTTCAAACTAAGTTTCTTTGATGGAGATGTCCTTAGCAGACAAAACTAACAGATTGCAGATATTGGCATGAATTAAACAAAGAAAAAGAAAATTCAGATTTTAACAGAACACGTGCGCCCTTTCACCTACACAGGCTAACGGTTTTCCATGATATGCTTCTGAGTTTTTAATAACCTATTGTTTACCTTCTTACTGGTGTGACAGTATTGTTGAGCTGCTATAAGCCTAAAGCTTTTCAAATGATGAGGAAATTTTTCTGACAAGAATGGACCCTCAGGCTTCTACCAGGTTATCAATAGGCTCACTGGGTCTGAGGATTAGCACATCAGCTTTAAATTCCTCAAAATTTGGAAGTAATGCATTCTCCTCCCCCTGTTCCTGTGCTCTCTAACTTAAGGTAGTACCTATAAGCTATAACTGAACCCAAGTCAGTTTAAAACTAAGTAAAGAATTGGGTTGAGTTAAAGGATTAAAGGCTTTAACAAGACCAGATAATTGAAAAATCACCATCAGAAGAAAATTTCTACTATAAATTGAGATCTGAATGCAAGCTGTTAGTCAATCATCAAAAATCAACTAAATACTCCCACCCCAGTAGTAATTCGTGGGAAAAAAATCCCCAAGAACTTAGAGATTAATAAAAACTCTGATCTCAACCCTCAATTTTTAGACTGTATGCTTCTCTGGAGCTATTAATGGCATCAAGAAAAAGAATTACAACCAATCCATGGATCCATTAGCTAATAATGGCATTCATAATTCATAATTGCAATTTGCAAGCAACCATCAACCAAGCTCATGCTGTGCTATGCCACATGCATGTGCGTTTATCAACCTTAGCCACACCACAGACATGTATGCAATGCAACAGCCAAACAAAATCTGAAAATGCAAGAGCAACACGTACCTTCAATTTCTTCAACGGAAACGCAAGCCACAAAAAGAAGCCCACAGCCAACAAATTTTTAAGCTACACTAAACTGTAATCTACCATTTATCAGCAGAATACAACTACAGAAAGATCAAACTAATATGTAATCTACCAAAAATGGGGTTGATTTTACTAGCAAAACTACTGGGCTTTGAATCCAAAAGATTGGACAACTACCCATGAAAGCAAATCACTCGGGGAGAACAACAAAATAACAAGAACAAAAAACAAAAAATCAATAGAAGGCAAACTGAAAGAAGGAAAACCCAATGAAAAGATTAGAGTTTAGATCGAGAACCTGTTGTCGAGAGATGATTAAAACTCAGGGGCAGATGCGCTC